AGTTGATGGTGACCTATTAAGAAAAGGATCTTGTGATTGTACTGGGCTGTTCAACAAAAATGCTCATCCAGTATGTGGCTGCTACAAAGAAGGAAAATTCTATGTTGGTGATCATTAGGAAAGGAAATAGCAATAAAACTGCCAGTATCATAATGCTGTTATAAAAATCTGTAGCATGACTGCTGACCACACTTCAAATACTGTGATCACGTCTGGTCACCATACCATACCACACACAATGTAGAACTGGAAAATTGCAGAAAAGGGCAACCAAAGTGAAGCATATTCCTGTGAGAAATGGTTATAATGCATCATCCTTTTTTAGCTTAAAAAAGGCAAATAAGTATGTACATGATGGAGGTGTATAAAGATACGCATAGTGTGGAAGAAGTGGATAGGCCTCTTTCAAACTACAAAAGCCTATGATATCATATAAAGCCCATTGGTGAGACTGCAAGAAACTAATGCTGGTCTAGCTGGGCACTTTGGGGGAACAATTCTATGCTCTTTTGGAGAGCAAGTTTTTGATTCTCAGATCCACAGTCAAAGCTGGGAATTGCAGATCTGACTCCTCCCCCTTTATATCTGGTATGGAAAGAACCAATCATCTACTCTCGAAGGTTGTAAAAATGACCTTGGAGGGGGCAAAGGGTGTGTTCCAGTGGGAGGGAAGGAAACTGGAGAAGCCAGGATAAAAGATACCCTAAAACCTCACCAGCCTCCTTCCCACTACTCAAATCCGGAAATGTTCCAGCTAGATAGGCAAAAAGCATTTCTAGTGAAATTAGCAGAAAGGATGAGGAAGTGGTAATTGCCACACCTTCCATTCTGCGCAGGATGACTTAAATCTCCAAGTGAAACGGCTTATGGGTACTTCAACATGATTGTGCCTCTGGAGGATCACAAGTATGAGGTCTAGAAAAAATATCTGTATTAAATCTTTTGTATTGCTTTGTTTAAGCTTTTAAAGACAAGAGCCTACTCTTTTCTGATGCCATTTTAATAGCAATTGCTGGTTTGGAATAACATTTCTTTGCAAGCATGAACAGCTGTTTCTAAGCATGAATGCAAACCCTGAACTCAGAATGCCAGGAAAGTATTCTTAGCATCCTTGATTAAGCCTGGTCTTCCCCAACCAGGTGCCCTCCAGATGTTTAGGATCACAGGTGTCATTATCTTATCACTGACCATGCTGACTGCAGATGATGGAAGCTGTAATCTAAAACATCTGAAAAGCAACACATTGGAAAAGCTTACTAAACTCATGACTTAATTCTATAGCACAATTATGTTCCACTCTGATTTCAAAGCCTTATATTTTAAGGCAAATGCCACTGTTATATTTAGTAGGTCACAACTGAAGCTCTGGCTTATACTCAAAATCATTTCCTCAAGCATAGCTGACATGGATTTAGAACCACATGTAGCACTTTCTTTACATATTAATTGAAGTTAGTGGAACTTCTAAATAAGTGTATCCATTTATTTATTAAAACCATTGTGTTCATTAGTAGCCTTTTCTACATTCACAGTTTTGTCACTGTTATTTGCCATCAAATTGTCTCCTATTTGTGGCAACCCTGTGAATTAAAGCCCTCCAAAATGGCCTGACCTTGACAACTCTGCTCAGCTCTTGTAAACTCAAGGCTGTGGCTTTCTTGACTTGGTATTCCTCTTCTTTTGCCTTCTACTTTCCCTAGCATTATTAGATAACAATTGCACAGAATAATTAAATCAGATTTAGATGCAATCCTATGGCTTGTGCCCTTGATGCCCATGAGTCCTCTATCTGAGGTATTATTCAGATCCAGTACAGAGCAGGAGAAACAGCAGAGGTAATCTCTGTCAACCCTGTAACTCTGCATTTTCATTAGGCCATCTAGATAGTGCTAACTGACCTCACAGATCCAGTTGATGCAGTTCTTTCTGAACTGGCTGTAAGGTGGGGAGTGAAATCAGAACACAGATTCCTAACATTGAGTCAGAATTCTGTCTCAGAGCTTGAAGCCCAAGAACTAGGGGCTTAGGATTGCTCCTTTAACACATCAGCAACACAGAAAAAATAGCAAAAACTAGCCAAAGGCAAAATACAGAAGGTGTCTTCCCTCCTTCAAAAGATAAAAAGAAGGCAAACACAAGTTACAGGGAGGTGTACACTCCATGGCCTCAGGAGAAATTGTGCAAACCCTTGCTCCTCACAATAGTTCTTGCTTCACATGGGAGTTGGAAATAGAAGCGTTTCTCTCTGAGATATGTGAAACCAGCATATTGAATTCAACCCAGACGTGTATGGTTTTTGACATCACACATCCATAAGGAAACATGTGGCAACATTTTTTAGTACTTGGAAGTTTTCAAGTGCTCAAGGAGAACCTTACATATAAATCATTACAATGCTCAAATCTGCAAATTACAAGTGCTTTTCAAGGTGGTCTTTGCCCAAGAAGCCATGCAGAGAGTCCAGATAGGGGCTATGCAAGTGGCATAAAAATTAATTACATAAAAGAAATAAAAAATAAGAAATGACACCTACACAGTAACTAGTGCTGCAAAAAAAAATAATTTTACCTACTACAGCATTCAGCCTAGCAAAAAGCAGAGTGGATCAAACAGAAATAACAATAAAAGTAATGAGGGTCAAGCTGTGTGAGGCAGCTTTAGCAATAACCAAGCAATCTATCACTGCCCTCAACAGAAGCCAAATAGAAGTTATCCATGATTCTGCAAGCCAGGGTTTGCAACACCTCTAGCAAAGACTCTGCATCAGCGATGGGAAGTGAGCTGAACAATTTTGCTAGCAATGAATTAAGCAAGAAGATCATTCACCATCTGCCAGAAAAGACTTAGCATCAAAACACCACTACTGATGTACACTACACAGAAAGTCCGGGTTGGGACTATTGGATGCAGTTTTATAAATCAAATCAAATAAAAAAATAAAACACCCTTTACCATCCAGAAAAGCTCCACTGTGATTCAGTGATATAATTGATTCAGTTGATACAATAGAGACAGAAAAGAAAGAATCATTGCTGCCATCTCCGCAAAGACCTGTAACTTACTTTGTGTTAAGTTGCTCAGTCAAATATAGCCAGGACTTTTCAACGCCATCATTCTCATAGTTTCCCAACAGTTTTCATGTCACCTCACGCCTCACTAAACCAAAGAGCTGAGTTCAGCCAGAAGGAGCCATCAGTCTCCACAGATGGTCCAACCTAATGACCATCTGTAGAGGGGCATTCAACTTCAGGAGAGCACTGACCAGGGAGCATAGTGATCCAGCCCATGACACTGGTATATCAATATAGCAGGTTGACTTATCTCTAGCCTTGGTAGATAAATGCTAAGAACCAGGTATGGATGGGAAAAAATATATTCTTATTATACTAACTTTTGGGGAGGGGAGATGGACACCTCTCATAATATTCTCTCTTCCAGAATGGTACTACAGCTATTTCCAAGAAAAAGCAATGAAAGCCTGTTCCAACAAAATCAGAGGGAAGGTCTGCATGACACCACTATCCAGTGTGGTAAGGCTGTGATGCATGTAGATACCATTTTCAATATGCAGCCCCCACTTGGGGATTATAGTGCCACCTCTGCTTGCCAGTTGCACACTGCATGACAGTCCCCAAATGGGGTTTCTATATGGAACCTGGAGTCCATAATTATACATGTGGGTTAGAAGCCATGGCATGTCATCTGAAGAAGGTCAGACAGTCTTATGGCATATTATGACACGATCTAACTTATTAGATTTATATCGTCTTTTATCCTACAAAGAAACCAAGGTAACTTGCATAACCTCCTCTGCATTTTAAACTCACAATGTAACACTAAACTAAGCACAGATGGATGTTTTCTAAGTTGTTTAGCATTGTCCCTGACAGAAGGAGCCAAGCAGCAGTGATTGCACAGTGTGCCAATAGTTGCATAGCACAAATAATTTCAGCAAAGCAGCTTCTCTCATCCTTGCATGGCAAGCTACATCTGATGAAATTTATTCTTCCACACAGATCAGCTCTTAAAATTGCAGGAGTTCCTGTTGTCTTCCTTAGTGCTAGACCACTCTAAAAAAGGAGGAAGGTAGAGATAACTGGGTAATAATTTAATTAAATCCTATGTTTAAAATTGAAAATAAAAATAGGTCCTGGATCTGTTAAGTCTAAAAAGTACTACCACAAGTTATATTTCAAGACTAAACACAGGGAGAATTTTCTTTCAGTGTTAGTACATGATAGCAATAAAAATATACATACAACACTATGACAGCCATGTTGGATGTAGCTGGGGAGTAGAGGTTTCTTGTTTAGCTGGTGCCTTCTAAACCACTATTAAACTGCTAAATTTTTAAAATTTAAATAATGTATTGCATTTCTACCAATGGTAAAAAGGCAATGTACATACAAGGCAAAGTTAAGCTATAATAATAAATTAGCACATTGTAATTAAACTGTAAGATCAACAGAAAAAGAATACAAGCAAGGGAAATAGGTTTCCATGACTCTAAAAATGCAATGTCTCCGCAGGAATTCTTTAATAAATTTTCCTGGGCAATACAGGTCCACACATATGCTGACAAACAACTTTATGAAATAGCCTCAGAGTCAAATGCACTTTGTTCTCTTCAAATATTCTAGTAATACATACACAATTAAAATCATAGACCAATGCCAAATAAAACTATCATAAAATTTGACACAACGTAAGTTGTGACATCACAAGTGTTCATAGAACTCTTATGTAGCCTTTTTGTTTGTTTCTTGTAAAAGTTTAGTAATAAAATTGAAATTCATCTCTGTATGTCTTTATCTTAGTTCACGGTGTAATTTTATCTTCTCTGAAAAATGTTCCAGTTTTTAAAAAGAGAGATGCATTTTGCTATGATCTTTTGTGTCAGTCACTTGCAATTGAGTTCAACAAAGTATGAACATGAGCATGTACATGAAACAAGTCACAGAAACTCATGGCAGAGTTGTAATGATGAGAGATGAACTCACCGTCCCCTTCCAGAAGCTATCTACTGGCGATTCCTTTTAGTTACTAAGTCAGTTAGACGAAGCGAGAATCTCCATTCAGATTCCAGCATCCCAAAGGTAAAAATGCAACCACTAAGCAAGGATCGCCAACTCAAACTGGGCTAATTCAGACCCTATATCCGACAGAAAAGGGAACATGTCAGGGCACATTTACAGCCCTCCTCCCTTCAAAGACAATCACGTGCAGAGGCCAGTGATCCACATCCGTTCTTGGTAGACGTGGAAAATATTTGTAAGCCATGCGGTACAAGAGGGATTTTGTTTGTTTCGCTTTTTAATTTTTATTTGTTAATTCGGGGAAAAAGATGGAGGAGTTCTGCCTTTCACAGCCACGAAAGAACGCGCCGTGATAATAGAAACCGTCTAACCGACGTTTGGCAAGGATTTGCATATGCAAGCCTCATCCGGAAAAGGAGGCAATAGACAGACAAGAAACTGAAAGTAAAGGCTTACGAGGGAGGGCTAGGAGGCAAGTGGAGTCATCCCAATTGACAGGGAACGGATTAAAGCTGCTTCACTTCCCGGCAGCGACGATGGCCTCGCATATCCCACTTACACCACCCTTCCCTTTGCAGGATTCATCAACAAAGCCAAGCCAAGCCAAGCCAAGCCAGCACCAATGAGGGCTGGGGTTGAGGACGGAAGGGAGATTTTCTGACATTTTCACAAATTCCCTCGTGTGGTTTGCTAGGAAGTCCTTTAGATGCCCTCCTTTTCCTATATAATGTGTATTCCACGAATATTCGGGTGGGAAGAGACGGGAGAGTGAGACGCCGATACTTCTGTTTTCCACCCCCAAGACAAAAACCTGACAGACCAGCCTTCGCCTGGTTAACCAGACACACGCACACAGCCTGATTTCCTTACCCATCCCCATTTCCCTAACTACACACACGCACATTGCACAATCTTTAACTAGGAAGGGAGGGAAATTACAGTTCTATGGACTCAGGGGGACTTTCCACGGCCAGTTGATTCCCAGCCTCCCCTGACTAGCGAAGACTTCCATAACAAACAAATACACACACTCTTATATAAACCGATGGAGGGGCACAGATGGGGGAGAAGAGCAGGATCTCCCACTCTCCACCTCCCTCCAAATGAAAGGGTCTCCAACGCCTCCGGGACTTTCCAGCCTGAGCCCCACGTCCCTTGTCGGTCCAACATGAGTGCTCCAAGATCATGGGGGGAATAAGACATAAATATCTGTTCGCTTCCTCCATCCTGCCTCCTGATGAGGGGAGGGGTGGACCTTGGGCACCTCGTCTCTGAACTGCGGGCCCATCAGCTCCACCGAGAGGGAAACGCCAAGAGAGAGCTCGTCCACCCCTGCCTGTTCGGCTACCGCCGCTGAGGCCGGGTTCAGTCCCGGAGCGGCCGCTGCCATTTCTCTACGGGCCAAAAAGCTCGGTATGTCGCCTCCGACGGGCTGAAGCGGGCCAGCCCGAGGAACAGAGAAGTGAAACCCCCCCACGCCGCCGCCGCCGTTGCCTTTCCTTACCTTGTTTATGTGTCAAAGGGAAGCGTCACGTCGCTCTCCCTCTCTCAGGCCGAGTAGCGGCGGGAGGAAAACAGCCGGCAGCGGCAGCAACAGCCAGGGGAGAACCAGCTCGGAGGGGGGGGGGAGGGAGGCTCCTCGCTAGCAGCGGCGGCAGCAGCCGCCCAACACGAGGGGAGGAGACACAAGGAGGAGGAGGAGGCAGGGCGCGAGCTGGGCCCATGCGATAGCCAAGGCAGGCTGGCTGGCCGCCTGCCCGCCCGCTTGCCTCATTCACCCAGTCGCCTGCCCGCTCAAGAGCAGCCAGGCAGGCTGCGCGTCTCCGGCCCTCGGTCTCTGCTTCTGCACATGCTCCAGCACCTGAAGCGCCTCCGCTAGTAGGCATGTGCGCACCAGAGGCTCGCACATGCCCATTCACAAGGATTAGCTGCTACCGCTGTGACGAGTACTACTGCTACTAGCGGTGCTGCCGCTGCTCCTATTGCTGTTACTCACAGTAGCAGCAGGATTGAGCCTGCTTGTTTCGTTGCACACTGAAGAACGACGGCCGAAGAAATGGGTAATTGATATCTGCCTGTCTATTTAAATTGATAATTGTCTGTCTAACCGAAGGGTGTGGTTCTGTTCACGTCCACACATAGGTAAGGCCTACTGAGTTTAGTGGAGCTTAGTCTTGTACCGTAAATAAAATACCATAAGACAGTGAGTAGCATAAGAAAATCAAGAGAGATTGTAAAAGTAAGTATGGTTGTCACGCGGGATTGCTGCATCTAATCCCTCTGCTCGTTAATCTACGTCATCATTTTTTTTGTAAACTGGAATTATCCCACGCTTCGGTATTAAATGTTTCCAAGGCAGCTTGTAAAGTAGCTCGAGCATGCTAGGTAAAATCCACTGGGTGTTGTTTTTTTAAAGTTCGGGTGAAAATGTAGTGGGAAGGAGAGCACATGCAGTTGTGGCTGGTGAGCAAATCACCCGGGGTGGGGATGCATAACTATGGTGCAAAGGGAGTTGTGCCCCCTTTTTAAGGACAGCTTTTCAGTGCGTATTTACTAGAGAGTTCGTCGCATTACGCTCTATGGGACTTACATCTGAATAAACTTCCCTAGGTTCCCGGTTCCATCTGGTATGCACTTCCTGGAGTAAGGTCATTGAACTCAGTGAGCTTTACTTCTGAATAAACCTGTAGAGACTTTGGTTGTAAATCTTGTGTGGGAAAGATTTTTTGGCTGGAGGTCATTATACAGGGGTAAGGAGTATATTTTTTTATTATTGATGGGCACCCTCCTTTTTTGACCAAACATAGTACTCAAGGTACTTTACAGTCATTAATACAAACAACCAATAAGCAAATACATTTAAAACACCAAAACAAAATAGGGTAAAAATAACATTCAGCTCAAGGAATCCATTTAAACAGCAAAGGTCCACTTGAATAAAAGACAGTATATAAAAGACACACTTTGGATGATTGTTGGAATCATATGCAAAGAAGAGGGAAAGTAGGAACAGGTAACTGACAACTTGGTGAGAGAACAAACTGTTTTCACAAAGTTTTCATTCCTTGTGATCTTTCATGAAAGCCTGTTGGAGGAAAGGATCAGAAGTGGAAATCAACAGTGAAAATGATGTTATGCTGGAGGAAAGATTGTTTCCTATTTTCTGGCAATGTTCCAGTGTTTTTACCAGTAGCCTGTCATATAAGAAGCAGGTAGAGTCAGAAGATAAAGGGAAGGGGTAAATTTCATCTCTTTCATTTCTTGTATGCTAGGCAACAGTTTCAGGTGATTCATGAAGGCTACTGAGCATTAGGGCATCTTCATATGAGTAGACTTGCTCAATGAAAATAGTAATTAGTATTTTTATACCATTCAATAGCTGAAGCTCTCTGGGCAGTTTACAAAAACAATAAAATAAAATAGCAACACAGTATAGAATATAAAACAATAGTAAAACATTGTGGAAATAAATACAAAATACAAAATTTAAAACTTAAATTTAAAATCAAATTTTAAAATCCACAAACACACAAATTAAATCACAAGACTTGTAAAGCAAGTTGACATAATTCCCCAACATAATACAAAACTAAATGCCCTGTCTTAGAGGACAGACTTAACCTGGTGCCAGAAAGTCATTCAAGTTAGTGTCAGGTGAGTCTTAGTGAGGAGCTTGTCCCATAACTGGGGTTCACCGCTGAAAAGGCCCTTCTCCCTATAGCTACCAAAGTGAGCCTCGCTCTGAGATGGCAATCAGAGGTAGCTCCCAGAACACCATCAGTAAACTGTAGCTGGGAGTGGCATTCAATCAGCTATTGTGTGGTCTCAAGATATGTAGGGTTTTATAGGCTAAAACGAGCTAAGGAAACTTACCCAGAGTGTGCTGAATGTTAGAGTTTCACTTGTTTCTTTAGGAACAGTCATATGCTTGTTTGGTAAAACTATTGTGATAAGAATTAAGGGATGCTAGAAATATGAATGCAGTATACCTTCACTGAAGTAATTATCATGCTTTCATTGATTTTCATTTATTTGGATTGAGCATTCCTAATAAGAGCCACATCACCTTTGGATCACAGCCAGGAGCTTGTCTCATGTCTTTAAGTTACTACTACTAAAGATGGTAGTCCTATAATCATTTTCATTGACTAGGATGGCAGTCTTACAGTGCAATCTTATGCATACCTTATTCATGGAAATGTGTCTGAACTCAGTGGTACTTTTTGGTGAATATGAATCGAAGTGTACTTCTACTAACAGATCAGTGTAAATCACATGTCACTTTTACATAGAAATGATTCTTATGCTTTGATTTATGTAAAGCCTATTGATTAAATCTGGAGTTGCCAACAAGGTGCCTATAGGTATCTCTCTTGGTGGCTAGCAGGTCTCTTGCCCTTATCATTTTTTATTTTAAATAATACACCTGCCCTGTAATTAAATTCTTGGAAAAGCTACTTTTGATCATGCCAGTTGTCCTTCTGGGAAAGATTTCATGACAGACCATGCCCACAATGTCAGCCATTTTGAGAATGAGCAAGGCCCTCCAACAGCCATTTTGTGATAGCACTCACAACACTCTTTCAAAATTCTAAATGCCCTGACTCAAAATGATTGGAGACGCATCCCTTCTAGAGCTCAAGTAGCATGACAAGTCTCTTCCTCTCTCTTCTATTGCTTTGCACTTACCCAGTAGAGAGAGAGAGATTTATGCCCTAGCAGAGGTCAAACCCCAGCAATCAGGCCTGCCACCTGCTTGATTCCTTTTAATAGCAATTTGATTTGTAGATTTTAAAGGATGAAACATTTCTCGACAAGAAGAAAGGCATTATCACATATTGGTATTAGCAGATATAACTCCTTTTAAAGATATAAAAGCAGGCTGTTGAACTGTTGGTAACACCACAAAAAACATATAAAACTGCCTTATACTAAGCCAGGGCAGCTGATATCAAGTAAAAATATTTCCTAGCCTAGTGACAGTTTCTACCTCAGTGCTTTTAGATCCACACAACTGCTGTTGGCTGCACTTGATCCTGCTTCAGTGCCTTCCAGCCTGCTCTGTGCCTTCCTGAAACCTGACTGAGCATATCTGGTTCCTTGGCACATTGACCCAATCAGATTGTTCTCCTAGTCAATTCTGATTAAAAGGCAACTCAAGTTCAGCTCCAGGAGTGAAACCAAGTACTCTTTGTCAAATTTTCATTACTTGGCTTTCTCTATTCTATCATTAGCTTCCTCCTTCCTTGCCTAAATCCAAATGAAAAATGTAGGAGAGAAGATTATACCAGTAAGGTCTGCTCTATCATTAGACAAAGTGAGGTAGCTGCCTTACAGAACAGGCAGAGTTGTGCCCTTCAGGCTACCCTGAACTCAGATACAGTGAAGGATAATATCCCATTACATTTCTAATTATACTTTTAAATAATTATTAAAAGAGCTGAAAGCAATCAAAGGTGCTGAGGTATTAAACTTAAAGGATTCTTTCTTTAACTTGACACCTGGCAACTCCCACCAGCTGCTAATGTATTTATAAATTATCTTCAGATAGGGTGTTAAGTTTCAAAGAACTCTTGTGCCCTTTAAGGTGCAATTGGGGTGCTGGCTGGTGAATGCTGGGAGTTGTAGGACATTTTTCTCTCCATCTATGTAGGATTACACCTTTAATGGCTGTTTGGAACAGACTATTCCAGCAACTGGAGTTTAACACAGAGATGTGGGAGAAGTTGGATTGAGTGAAATTCCATTCTCTACAAAGTGGTTAAAGATCCAGAAACAAAGTTTATATACTATCCAATAACATATTATTCTGGTAGTTTTCAGTAACATAAAATTTCCTCATTCAGATTATTTTGGTGACATCCATAGTTCTCCAGAGGGACTGCAGAAAATAATTATTCAATGGTTATGTGATGCTACTGTACAAAGCGCCTTTCAGTAGTTCATTTTCAGCCATATCTCTTTAAAGTTAAAAGTCACAAAATGTGAACAAGCCATAGTTGTATCACATTAATGTGTATGTTTTTGAGATTTCTACAAACAATAAGTGTTATGATGTGACTTGTAGGAGAAGAAATGGTAGTTGGTATTGGCAATGTATTTCATGAACTAAGTGGGAAGGAAAAGCATGGGTTTGCTTTGAATTAGCAGGACCTATAGTTGCTAAAGGGAGAATTCA